GGCAGTTTCCACTTCTCTGATGCTCAGTTCAGTTCAGTTCAGTTCAGTTGCTCAGTTATGTCCAACTCTTTGCGACCCCATGGACTGCAGCACGCCAGGCCTCCCTGTCCATCACCAACTCCCGGAGCTTGCTCAAACTCATGTCTATTGAGTAAGTGATGCCATCCAACCATCTCATCCTCTGTCATCCCCTTCTCCTCCTGACTTCAATCTTTCCCAGAATCAGGTTCTTTTCAAGTGAGTCAGTTCTTCTCATCAGGTGGCCAAAGTATTGGAGTTTCAGTTTCAGCATCAGTTCTTCCCATGAATATACAGGACTGATTTCCTTTAGGATTGACTGGTTGGATCTCCTTGAAGTCCAAGAAACTTTCAAGAGTCTTCTCCAACACAACCGTTCAAAAGCATCAATTCTTTGGTGCTCAGCTTTCTTTATAGTCCAACTCTCACATCCATACATGACTACTGGAATTATCAAATTAATAAACTTTCTCATTTTTACAGGTTCTGAGAGTTTGGTGCATATATATCTATCCCTGAAAAAAAATGTATTAATTCTTGATGTGCTGACAAGTCAGAATTTCAAGACTGTAAGACCAGCCCTGAATCCTGGGTAATGCCAACCCTTGGGACCTGCCTAGGTAGACACCAGCCTTCCCCAGCCTTCTGCTCTGCATGCTTCTTTGATCTTCTAGATTCCTTAAGGCTGGGACCATGTCTGATGCTTCTTTGATAGCTGAGACATCCTCTTTCACCATGTCTAATAAAAAGCATTTTTGTTTTTAACAAATTTGTTTCTTGATTTCTTTCACTCTCATTCAACCCCATCAAAAATAGCTAACTCAACATCTATTTAGGAATCAAGTCAGATGCAGAGAACTATGTAAGGGGCATTTTTTTAAATGAAAAATTAATAATTTTAAAAATCCTTCAGCTATTTTGAAAGATGACAACTTTTTTCACATACTTATACTATATTAACTTTCTTTTCTGCTTAGGTGGTCCACAAATAATTTAATCAACTAAGAACCTCCCTCCACACTACACTTTTAACTGAAGGACAAGAAACCAAACATCATCAACTCCTTCCCAGACAAGGAACAACTTTCATCTCCAGTGATTTCTCTGTTAATCACTTAGGTAGATTCTTTGACCTATAACAGGGGATGGCAAACTTTTTCTTCAAATATCCACAGAGCAAATACTTCAAAATCTGTGAGCCACACAGTGCCCTGCTATTGTACTGTGAAAGCAGCCGTAAACAACATGTAGCCAAATGAACATGGCTATATTCCAGTAAAACTTTGCTTGTGGACATTGACATTTGAATTTCATATAAATTTCATGGGTCACAAAAGATTAATCTTGTGGTTTATTTACAACCACTCAGAAATGTAAAAAACATTCTTAGCTCAGGAGACACATAAGCAGCTGTCGGATCTGGCCCATGGGCCATAGTTTGCCAACTCCAGCTCCACGGTGATGAATACTGGCAACAATTCACTATACTGTGACTATACGTACTGTGAATGTGTGTGGTCCCTTCATAACATGCCCTTACCAACCATGAGAATTATGATCTATAATGGTTCTTAAATTAACAAGTGGCAAAACTTACAGTCTTGTGGGAAAAATATTTTCACTAATATTTTTAAAAATGGTCAACACATTTTTAAAAGGTATTTTGCATACAAAATACCTTTTATAAAAAGATACTTTACATATCTTAAACCCCAAATAGTGGGGTTCTGTGTAATACATTTCTAGTTACCATCCCTGCTCAAAAAAAATTTGTAAGATAAATGAGGCAGTGCTAAGCTTGTTTTGCTTTGACAATGTTTTCTGTTGAGACTTTTTTCAAGGTATTTTTATTCATCCAAATGTTCAATGGCTTCTGATTTTAAAATTAGTATTCATACACTCTCACCTTCTGAGCGGTACCATAGTCCAAGAATTTGGATGCGTGATATATAAAAAGCTTTAGATTTTGTTTCTTCAACCTAAACCACATATCTACATATTTTTAACCTCCCTCCCCATACATAAGCTTATAGAGCATTGCCAATCTATGACAACTTCCTAGGCACACTTAACAAATATTTCTACTGGACCATTTTCCTGTTTTTTTGATTGTTCGTTTCAACTTTCATTACACATCCTTTACTTCTGCAGACTTTCTACTTTAACTCCCCTTTTTATTTCCAATCTGCCATTGCTCTTTTTCTAGCTGTCTACAACAGTTGACACTTGCATGATACATATATCTAAACTATACTTCCCAGCTGTGGAAAAGGTCCCAGCATCATTTCCCCGGACAGGACATCAAGGATCACTGTACCATTTCCTCTTTGCTTATATGTGTGCTTGCAAAAACCCATAATCAAGAGTTTTAGAAAAGCAGAGCATATGTTCTTATACTCTTGATTTGGTCATAAGAGGAATTTGTGGTTGAGACAAAATGAGCATATTTATCTGCCACACCTAAGTGTCCTTGTTCACACTGCTCCCAGAATTTTCTGCCTGAGAAAATTCCCCTCAACCTCCAAGGACAGGAACCTGTGGGAAGCATCCGTGACAGATCTGCTGAGGCTCTCCTCTGCATCCCCAAAGCATTTCATACCTCTCCACTAAAGCACTTACGACTGCATTGCATTTGCTTGTTTATGTAACTATCCCACCCCCACCTGCCCACCCTACTAAGTCAACAAAAAACTTTCATCTTTTCTTTTTTTCCCCTGCCTCCCTCATGCCCAACACAGTGCCTGGAATAGAGCATCAAGATTGCATTTCTCAGAAATATTGAGGGCAGTGTCCCAAAAGGAATGACTTCAGGGGCTTCCCCAGCCAACTTCCATCAGCATCCTTAATCTCCCTCCTCCCCTAAAAAGTCAGCAGACAATCTAAGTAAAAATACTTAGATTTTTAAAAATTAAAAAAAAACAAACAAACATCACTTCAAAACAAGTATTTCAAGGCCCTCTTATCAAGAGACTGCCACTCTTAAACTCTTCAAATAAATTCTAGCAATAACACCATGGAATATGCAAGGTTCTCTTAACACTACAAAATAATATGCTCACATAGCACCTCACAGTTTTCACATTACTTTCACGATTTTTTTTTCCATTTGGCCCACTAATCCTTGGTAAGACAGATAGCATTAGCCTCATTTTTCAGTCACTCAAGGAAATAAAAGTGACATGTCCAAGATCAGAGCTTGTGATTGGTGACAGCTCTAGGCCTAAAACACTTAATTTGATTAAGGGTTAAATCTTAAATTGATCTGTCTACTCTCCTGCACTCCAGGAAAATTAGGCTTGGTATCTATGGAGGATTCTACCCCCAACTCCACCCCTGAACATTCTGTAGTACCAGATTAGATTGTGACACTATGTTCTAAAAATCCATTCCAAACAAAAATCATTTGGGCAAATACACATTATGAAAAGAAAGAGTCATGCCCCACTTGTGTTAGTACTGTTCTATGATTTTTGCCATAAGTACTTAATGACTAGAGGGTTGCCAGTGAATCACTGACTGTTCAAAAAATGGCATGCCATGAATTTCTGCAAATGGAAATATGCAGTCTATTATCTAAACAATTTACTCATGAGGAAGCACCATTATTTATAAGGACAAGAGCTTGATTTTCTCTTCTTTGATAATTTGTCTTTCCTAAACTATTAAATTTAGATTACTTATCACATTAGCAGGTTCTTCACTTGGTTTCTCTACATAATTCTCCATGATTTAAACGTCACTTCAATTCTTTTACTATTTATTGCACACAACTCTTTTAATATTAGCACATATCATCTTAGACGTAAATAGGGCAATGCCTGCCAAAAAATCTTGCTACTGTGTGAATAATTGAAAGGCAAAATTATTTCTCAGATATATTAAGTTATTCAAATGAGCCACATTTAGTTTTTCACAAATTATTTAATTTTTTCAACAAAGGCCTATCTAGTAAAGTATGCAGAGCACGTCACACTTAAGATTTTCAAGTTTGATCTGGTTACGAATCTGCTAATTGTAAAAATTTCAATATGGCAGAGTGCAAAATATTTCCCCCAAATGCAAATAGAGATGTCATGCAGATAACTGCAAGACATGAATCACTGCCCTGCTGCATCAAACTGGAAAAATCAGAGGCAGTTCACTCCGCAAGATTTCTTACCCAGTTCTTAAAAGTTCAGATGCATCACCTTTTAATCAGGGTAATAAACTAATTGCTAACATACTGGGTAATGTTTACTGCTAAACCCACAATCTGGACAAACAGAAAATTATGCTGTCAGAGCCTGCAAACAACTGCAGTCCGCTGTTACACACTGCACCCTCCTTACACAGGGCTGTCGTCGGGAGTTACAGTGCTTTACGGTTTTAATTTTTTTAGAGTAAGGGTCTCTTCCCGAGAGGTAGGGTATTAAGACGAAAGCAGTCTCCCGCGTGACCTTCCTCACACAGACCTTGAGCGAGCGACTGCGGGGGCAGAAGCTGAGAATTTCAGAAGGCATTTGACAGCTCAACTGGGTCCTTCACACTTGGCTTTCAGGAACAAAAAAAAAAAGCACGTTACTCTGCACCTGCCTCTCCACCCACCCTCCTTGAAACTTATTTACCCCTAAGGATCCCAGCCAGAAGAAGGTAGGAATCTAGTCTCTCCGGTGATGCCTAGGAAAATAAACCCCGACTGGAGCGCCGAGCCGGGAGTCGAGAGGGGCAGGGGGCGAGGAAACCTTGAAGGAGGGGCGAGGGGGACCTGGAGGGGCTGGGGCTCCCCCCACTGCGCCGCAATTTCTCCACCACGTGTGAAAATCTCGCGCACCAGGTGCCCCATGAGAGACCGGGGTCTGCGTCCGCCGGTCCCAGGCGCGGATCCTCCGCTCCCTCCCCGCTCGGGGACCCTTCTCCCGCGGCCCCGGCGGGCGTCCCCGCGGCGGTCTCCGGGCAGAGACAGCGCGCAGAGCCCCGGCCGGCGGGGGCGCTTCCCCGGCTACCTTTTATCCAGGCAGGCGATCCACTCGGCCGAGGAGGAAGAATGGGCAGCGTGCGCAGCGACCATGATGGGCAGCGGCGCGCAGTGTCCCCAGGCTGCGGCGACCTCCCGCGCTCTCTCTGCCTGCGCCTCGCCCGCGCCTCGCCAGCCGCGCGGACCCGCTCCTCCCCTCCCGCCTCGCGCCCAGCGCCGCGGCGACGCGCCCGCCCTCCCCGCGGCCCGCCGGGCGGGGGGCCAGCAAGGGAGGGGACCCGAGGGGCGGGCCGCGGGGACCTCGCTGCACTGCGGCGCCCGGGGGTGGGGAGTCCCGCGGGCCCGCCCGCTGCGGGGAGGGGGTCGGGGGGCGACCCCGGGTGGCAGGCCACCTGCGACAGGTGGCTGCTGCGTCTCCGGGAGACCTGGGCCGCACCCCTCACCTCGGGGCCTCAGAGGCGGGGAGGGAAGGAAGGCGCCGCGGATGGGGGTGGGGGGGACGGGGACGGATGTCAGTGTCTATATATTTTTCATACAGCAAATGCCACTAAAATGGCTGCTGCCTCTCTGTTTCCTTAGAAACCCATTAGTCTCCCTCAGCAGCTGTCAAAACTTGCTGGCGGTTTCCTGCTCACCTTTGCTGTTTCTCCTTCAAAAAGGGATGGAGAAGAGGACTATGTGACTTAGCCTGGAAACACCCGCAGCGGTCTCAGTTTCCCCTGGGAGGCTGAGGGAGGCCTGGGATGGAACGGAGAGGCAGTGCAGACAAGGCTGGAAGCCCAGAGGGCAGGCCAGGGCTCAGAATGGTGACCAGTGGTGACTGCTGTTGTTTAATCACTAAGTTGTGTCCGACTCTTTTGGACACCATGGACTGTAGCCCACTAGGCTTCTCTGGCCATGGGATTTTCCAGGCAAGAATACTGGAGTGGGCTGTCATTTCTTTCTTCAAGGCATGACTGAAGGGTTGAAAAACCGAAGTTTCCGGCCTTGAACCTTGCACTTGCTGGGGCTCCCATCACCTACTCAATGGAACACACACAAGCACACAATTAAGAATGGCGAGCAGTGGGGCCACAGCAGAACTGTGGTTCTGCTCGCGGACCAAGTTCCCACCGCCCTTGGGGTAACCTGAGTGGTTGGCCCCACGTGTCCTTCGTTCTGTGTCTCGAGTGTGGAAGGGGTGGTCACTACACCTGTCTCTGGTAGGTGTACAAAATAAATGATAGGCTTTGAAGTTCAGTTGCACTCTGTCAAAAATCAAATTCCACACCAGTGGTTGCTTAGGAATTTGGGGGCAAGTTAAATCTTTTAGACTACTGCCAAGCAGTGTTTTGATACTGATGGTCTGCATTTGGAAACAGACAATAAGGAAGGAGACAGGGCGTTGCTAACCTCACTCTGTTATTTTTTTTCTCTCCTACACTCCTCTCATTCCCCTGCTCAAAGGATATTCAAGGAGACTGGAGAGAATGAAACAGCAGGTGCATTCTGGCATCCTAATAAAAGCAGGTGCATTTTATCCCAATAAAACTCCTCCAAAGAATCGCCATTTCCCCTCTGCTCCCTCGCCAGGATCTGGTTTCAGACCTAACTCTGCGCCCTCAGCAACATCGCCTGGTTCAGTGCTTGTCCCCCAGGTAACCTCCATCCTGTTGATTTCTACTGGGTTTAAGGTAAATAACATTTAAAATGTTATACTATACAATGTTATACTATGCCAAAGGTATTTTTGTTGTTGCTTTTTTTCATAACAGAGATATGAAGGAGATGAATCTCCTATATTTATTAAGACTTACTTATAAAGGCATCAGAGAGCTCTTGAGAACATTCCAAGGTCACCAAATGCTTTCTCAAAATGCCTTTACCCAGAGAATATTTAAAGGTAAGAAGATAGAGGCAAAAAGGACTGCACATGACCTGTCATTACTGGAGGCTTGGAGTTGCTATAATTTTTAGCTGTGATACTAATAATAGTCATCATTTATTGAACATCCGCTGAGTATCAGGTGCTGTGCAGAGTTCTCTACATGTGTTACCTCATTTAATCTTCGGAACATTCTATGAAGCAGTCAGAAGGACAGATGTCAGGGTTACTCCACAAGGAGAGGACAAACGTCTTTGAAAATGCAATGAACTGGAGAAAATTGTTTATCAGTACTTCCAGGGAGAGTGTTGACTGGCTTGGAAAGAAGATGTTGATGAGCCACTTGGAGTGGGAGGGAAAGCCCAAGGCCCCTATTATGCTTGTTAAGGATTGTGGTCTGATGAAGTGTAAGGCCTTTGTTTTGCCCTGCGGGGACCCTGCCTTTACTCTATATAGAAATTAAACAATCATTCAAAGAATATCCTTTCGAAGGTGCACCAAGAATCACTGACTTCCCAGAACAGGCGCGTGTCCCTATCCAGCCCTGGACATAGGTTCCAGCCACTGCAATATACTCCCTGGGACACTGAGCCTTGAGGGGGCTCATACCTTGCTGGTGAGACTCCAGCTACCGGAGCAGGAGGCTTGAATCAGATTTGGGTCTGTCTGATTCCACAGCCATGGCACTGGGCAATGATGTAACTGGTTTTGTCTATAGCATAAGGGTAGAAGACATGTCAAAAGTGACTGCTTAGGGGATAAGACTAAAAGGGTTATAAATTGTTTTTCATAGTAATTTTAAAAATAATAAACCTGTCTAGTAGGGGAAAGGAAAAAAGAACATGTAATGCTCTTTAGGCAGGAAATAAAAGTGTAGATAAAAAGTAAATATTCTGAGAATTCCACCATCTAGAGCTAACACTGCTAATATTTTAGCACATTGCATTCTATATTTTCTATTTTTGAAAGATACAATCACACATACACCCATAAACAAATGCATATAACTTGCTGCTTACATTCAAGCATGTATATATGAAAAAAAGTAGGATTATATGTCTATACCTGCATGATAAGTCTCTTCAGTCGTGTCCAACTTTGTGTGACCCTATGGGCTGCATCCTGCCAGTCTCTGTCCATGGGATTCTCCAGACAAGAATAGTGGAGTGGGTTGCCATTTCCTTCTCCAGGGTATCTTTCCCACCCAGGAATCGAACCAGTGTCTCTTATGTCTCCTGCGTTAGCAGGTGGGTTCTTTACTATTACTGCCACTTAGGAAGCCCAAACATGTGTATCAATACATGTATTCATACTTGAAAGCATTATTACTTTATAGGCTACTTCTACTTGGAATGGAAAAATGCTTTGTGTATTTAAATGAGATTTTCATTAAAAATTTTTACTGGCTCTGAAATATTCCAACATATGGATGTAACTAAACTTTTTTAAAAACTGAGATATAATTGACATATTATATTAGTTTCAAGTATACAACATAATGATTTGATATCTGTATTCATTGCAAATAATCACCACAATATCTAGTTAACATACAGCACCACACACAGCTATAGTTTTGGGGTTTTTTTTTTATGAAAACTTTTAAAATTTCCTCCCTTAGTAACACTTTCTTTTGAGGTCTATTATTTTGATTGGCAAAAATCTGCTTAATCTCCTTCCTATAGCTTAGCCTTCTATTAGAGAGCTAAACATCTCCAATGATCTCTAATGAAATGAACACGAGAAATGGCAAGACCCAGGTGTGTTAATGCTAACTGTTACTAGTTATAGAACATTGAATGGGTTACTTAATGTTCGAGTTCCATTTTGTTCATCTGAGCAGAGGCTCAAAGTTAGGAATTTGAGGACTGACAACTGAGTTCAAATTCCAGCTTCATCTTCTACTAAGTAAACACTTAAAATGAATTGCTTCACCTAAGACCCTGTTTCATCACCTGTAAAGTGGAGAAATTAATGGTATTATACTTAAATATGTTGCTAGTAAAACATTTAACGTAAGTGCTAACCATGTGGTATGCACTCAATAACTCTTAGCTATTATTATTGTTATTATTCTCTGTACAGTGAAGATAAATAGAATCTGCCTTCTGCATTTTACAGGGACTTGGTGACAATCAATTGAGATCACTTATACTAAAGGGCTTTGACCTTGGTAAATTGCAAGTGATGACTGTGTAGAGTACAAGGGATTAATGTGCCTCCCAGAGAAACAGCAAAGCTTTCCAAGGACTTCTTTAAACTTAAACTCACATTCTTTTCTGCATTCAGCCTAAGCCTAGCTCTGCGATTTCCATAGGACAGCTACAGGTACATACCTCTGTGTAGTTATTGCAGTGTGTATTAATAGATCAACAGTGCAGTGATTGAAAAAAGAAAGTGAAAGTGTTAGTCACTCAGTGGTGTCCAACTTTTTGTGACCCCATGGATTGTAGCCTGACAGGTTTCTCTATCTGTGGAATTCTCCAGGCGAGAATACTGGAGTGGGCCTCCAACCCTTCTCCAGGAGATCTTCCTGATCCAGGGCTCGACCCGGGTCTCCTGCATTGCGGGCAGATTCTTTATCATCTGAGCCACCAGGGAAGCAGACATGGGCTAGGGCCATGGAAATTTTCATTTTCCATTTTCCATTCTGGGAATTCTATTGAAGATAGAGCATTCACTCATATCCATGTAAGGGGAGAATCTGATTCACCATGTTTTAGGTACCTCATGGAAGGTGGGTTATTAAAAAAACATCTAACCATCACTCCTGCTGGTAAAATAACCTATTCATGGAAGAAGCTGTATGTTCCAGATGAAGTTATAATAGCAGCTTCAATGTTTTCTCTCACTGTCCATTTCAGTTCAGTTCATTTCAGTTTAGTCACTCAGTCATGTCCAACTCTGCGACCCCATGGACAGCAGCACATCAGCCCTCCCTGTCCATCACCAACTCCTGGAGTTTACTCAAACTCATGTCCATTGAGTTGGTGATGTCATCCAACCATCTCATTCTCTGTCGTCCCCTTCTCCTCCTGCCCTCAATCTTTCCCAGCATCAGGATCTTTTCAAATGAGTCAGCTCTTCACATCAAGTGGCAAAGTATTGGAGTTTCAGCTTCAGCATCAGTCCTTGCAATGAACACCAGGACTGATCTCCTTTAGAATGGACTGTTGGATCTCCTTGCAGAGTCTTCTCCAATACCACAGATCAAAAGCATCAATTCTTT